AATATATGAGGCCGGATTGTTTTGTTTGCATAGTAATGAATGCAGATTAGAGGTGAGCCGGATTGGTCCTGTTGACGTCTCCACTTCTATTGGCTTAATAAACCTGTTGCTGGCCGCGCTGACGTCCACCAGGCTTTCACATTACGGTGCCCGGTATTGAACTCAGTGTTCTGCTGTTATGACAATTGATCTGATGAGATGGAACAATTATTAGAACATGAAATTCAATTTATATTAATGTTTGATTCAGTCGGCCATGCATGCAGTGGTTGGCACCAACAGCAGCAGGTGAGTACTGAAGGAGTCAGTAAATGTGTGTGAAGCTACTGCTAACAGCACAACAGTGACTACTGAACTGATAGCATAAAACATTGGAGGTTCTTCTGATGGATCTTCACCTGAAACACTTAAACACAAGTTTGAAAACCAGAAAACTAACTTGTACTCAATGCGTAAAAGTATGTATGAGGATCTGTCTACTCCTGTGCTAATGACTTGGCTGTGTAAGAAAGAAGTCAAAATATCATTACATAGTTGGCCATACATTGTACTGGGGGTAAAATTATCCAATGAATACAATGATAATTGTTATCTGACGATACTTTTCTGGGGAAAATGTTAGATGAAACTGCCATTTTTAATTTTTTAATTATTTTACCAGCTATAAACTCAGAGATTCAGATCTTTCTTTTTTGCGAGGTGGTTCTGGCCAAGACAGCTGCATAATTTTTCCTCATTAAAATGCGAAGAAGTTTAAACAGACGTCATAAAACTAACTAGTTAAAACACTTGGCAATTAACATCACATTTAACACCGAGACAATATGATCGTCATCATCTTTTAGTGTCTTCAGTGATCGAATATTCCTTCACTTCTGTGTTAAAGGCTCCATATGTTGATAGTCCAGCTTTAGAGCGTTGCTGTCCGAGGTACGAATACTATGTGTCTGAGGATTGACATACAGTATACAGTACTACATAATACTTTAACGCCATTCAGAAACCACTCCATATGCACTAACTAGTGTTGAATTTTATTGTATTGATCCGGTCACAGTCTGTGAGCCGTGGACAGCGTCTCCAGTCATTGTTGAAGTGGTAGTTGATTCACTTTAACATTGTTTGTTTTCACTAAGTGCCTCTAAACTTTGCTTTCAGCAATATTTTTAGTGTTGAGTTCAGTTTACAAAAGTGACAGAAATGTGGCGCAAGGTGTGGATAGCAATAAACATCGGCGTTCGCCGTGGGAGCAGCGGCGAGCACCGCTGCAGCACTCGGAGCCGCACCTGATTTGTGGAGGGAATTTATCACACAAACAGCCCAGAGGTGATTTCAATATTTACTCGGCAGTCTGCTCTGCATACGTCTCATTTGGAAAACAGTTGACTCTTGCCCATTATACACAAATGAAGGCTGACCTTCAGACTGGGCAGAGGCCACATTCATTATGTGCAGAAGTATCACCTTCTTATGAGGCGTTTTTTTTTTTTTTTTTCCTCCTCCTGTTCTGCCTATGCATATGGAACAGCAGAACCAGGGCCCTTTGCAAACGAGTGGCCCCCTCACTGACATGATGTATACTGTACATCAATATGGTACTGATGTATTTTAAGATGCAAACAAGGCTTTAAATTATATGCACCTCCATGTCAGTGGCTCAGAGTGACTCTCGCCATCTGCCTATCAGCTGGGGATGAGAGGAGGCGAAGGAGGAGGCGCAGGAGAGGGTGGCCAGGCTGCCTCGTCCCCCTGGCGTGCGTGTATTTTTTGTGTGTGTGTGTCATTGTGTGTACTCCTGCTTGCATGTATCTATTAAAGCCACATGTTTGATTTCTACCTCTCCTCGTACTCGTGTCTTCCCGCTTCGGCACGGCTAATAGGTGCTCTTGAGTCCCATCACCAAGACGTGACAGCTTAGTGATGATAAACGTGGTGAAATGCCTTGTTCTGCATCAAATGTGAGGCAAACCTGCGGATCAAGCGGCTCAGCAGGCAGAACTGGGTGTTGTGCTGTACACTACTGTACATACACTGTACAATCGTCTTTTATAGTGAAGTGAAGGTTCACTCAATATAATATAATGTAATATAATAGGGATGGTAATCTGGGGAGGTAGAATGGAACCTGGAAATAGTGTAAAATTCAAGGCTCTTTATCAAAACGACTTTCTCAGAAAGCCAAATATCAACGTGTGGATAACATCCACTTTTGGTTGTGTTTGTAGAGGCTTCAACTTCAGGTCAGACCACAGACGTCAGCCCAGCGTCACAGAGGGCAGGACAGTAAATAAGTCTACGGCTGCTGGATATTGTTGAGAATAACGGCTTCACAGTTTGAGTTTGAAAACTACTCTCACCACGTTGTACAAACCAAGGTTTAGATGCACAGAAAAACTAAAATCCCCTCATTTGTATTTAAAAATGGTGTGAAACACACGTACCACCTGATTTTGGTCTTTGTGTCACAGCAGTGTAGTGAAAGAAGGTTTCCCATAATTTAGAAATGTCTTATCTCATAAATAATTATGATTAATTCTGATTTAATGCAGTTGTCATCAATTGAGATTAATTAGGATCATGATTAATCATGATTAATTGTGATTCAGCCACAGCTTCCCTGTGGATACTACTTTTAATAAATTGTTGACAGTGTCATGTAAAAAGATTTGGAATTTCTGCCTAAGAAAAGTAAAAGGAGTACATCACCAGAGTACACTTTAATGCAGTATTATTTACATGTACAAACGTATCTTCCTTTGCTGTCCGTGGCTGTGCGTCCGTCCACTGACAGAAGGAACACGTCTCTGCTGGCGTCTGTGACTTTTGTTGCCAGTGCATTGGCAGGAAGAGCAGTAGTGACTCTCCTGAGACGCTCCGGGAGCTTTAGCACTGTCTGTCCCCGCTGTTTCAGACCGTCCTCATGAATAAAGATTTCAGTCACGTTCGATACACCCGAACCCTGCAAGTAGCACAATGACAAACCAATGCTTTATGATCTCTGCAGTGTGCTCAGCATATGTGTGTCTATAATCTCAGGCTCACTATATCAATCATGTGGGGTCCATGTTGATGGAGGTGGACAACCGTGTGAATTATTGCCATAGCAGCAGATATTCAGAGGTGGCAGCTGGAAATGTGAATGATTATTTAGAATGTATTGTCAATAGTCATTTAGTCTGTTCAAACAGAGCAGCCGCCTGGGAATGAACACTTTTTATTGCACCAAAATGGAACAATGGCACTCTCAATATTTGTATATGATATTAAATACTGTTGAAATATTTTTGAAATATCTGCCGTGTTTTTTCACCTGTAGCCTCAGTGACTCCTGTCTCAGAATAATATCATCAGTGTTGATCTGATTCCTCCTCAGATCATTTTCAAATACAGCCCTTCAGGTAGTGAATAAAGTCAGGTTTTGAAGAATAACTGACTTGAACCCGTGGTTCATTGTTAGCGGTTCTCTGTTCCTCACAGCCTTGACTCTCTGTCTGTTATGATGAAGCACAGATGCAGAGACTTTTTATACTTTAATGCTGCTGTTTAAAGGCATTGTGTGCATTGTGATCTGATGAACAGGTCTTTGCAGATGGAAGGCTTTCAACTTCTTTGGAGTTAGAGTTCAGAGTTTGAAAATGCAGTAATACCTGAGGTAAAACTACTTCAGTGGTACTTCACATTGTATATCAAGCCTTATTCAAATTAACTCTGTCTTAAAGGTTTAACCTTTTTTTATTACAATAAAAAGTTTTTTTAGTCAGAAAAATAACCAAATTAACATGTTTGGTGAGAAACAGCTGTGTCTTAGCCAGTTGTTCCAAATATGGGGATGGGAGGCACCCTCGGGTGTGCAAAGTTTTGCAGAGGGTCAGAGTATGTGAAATAAATTGATTAAAGTTTGTTTTGTATTTGTGCCACGTGCTGACAGCCTTTATATTGTCACTTACTGGTTTTTAGGCACACCAGCAATAAAATAAAGTTTACCTAATAAATCAGCCAAACCAGGTTGTTGACTACAATAAATGTGTAAAATTAGCTCCACAAAACTATGTATATTTTTATAAAGACCATAAAATATTATACATGAGCAGCAGAAACATGGCTAAGAATAACGTTTAAGCTAACCTCAGTATATGGGAGCTGTAAGTAGCTGCAATTGGAATCTTAAAAATAGCAACAAGTAAACCATAAAGGTAATTTTTCCTTTGTGAAAATGTGTTAATGCTTTTCTGCTGATCCAAAAAACCAAAACATATCTTCTGAGTCAAGATAAAATAAATCTACTATAAACTTACTAACAATGTGTTTAAAAAAATACATGTTAAATGTAATGTAGAAGCAGCTGCAGAAGCTCATGTTAAAAAATCCCCCAAGGTCCAGAAATATTTAAATATTTCTTAGCAGTCACAGGTAACAAAAACCAAAAGGTGAAAAAGTCAAAGCCTATTGGATAATAGACATACTGTATGTCCAATCACATGTTGAGCTGTTTTCTCTTTCTAATCTGTACTCTTGTCACTCTCTCTGCTTCCATTACTGGATGTACACATTTATATATGTTGTACGTACATCTGATATACATAGTAAGTGGTCATAAAGTGCTGGCATCCTGCATTATCACGATTCAGAATCTCCTTCCATCACAGTCCAGATCCGTCAGCAGACTGAGGAGGAATTCCTGGAATGCTGTCACATTAATAAAAACTCTCACACACAGTGATTCAGCCCATCAGCATGACAAGCTGCAGTGAAAATCTCTGCTGTCACAAGATGAAAACCCAAGCAGCGATCTCACAGGAGCTTACTCTGCACTGTTGATAAAATTATTCATTGTTTTATCGTTTCAAAATTCTTTTGTTATTTGCCAGGTGTCGGAAAGGTTTTGCAGGTGGCAGTGGATCGGCCCCAGCAGACGTGTTACTGTAGCATTCTGTAAGCGCTCCTCTGACTCCTCTGACTAGCCCTCCACCTTATCCTTCTCCTCCTCCTCCTCCCTCCAGGCCTGACAGCGGCGGCGGCAGCAGCTGCCAACGCAGCCATCGCAGAGGCCATGAAGGTGAAGAAGATCAAACTGGAGGCGATGAGCGGCTACCACAGCAGCGCCAACCACCACGGGGCCGACGGGGAGAACGGAGACCTGAGCTCCAGTGTCGGTGAGGGTTCCCTTCACGGAACACACGCACACACACACACACACACACACACACACACACACACACACACACACACTGTCGTGAAAGAATCAATGCCAAAGAAAACATTCACATTTAATCTGTCGATCATTAATCATTTATGGACCTCCATTCAAGTAAAAACAATCCTGCACTTTTTTCCTATTCTTTATGGTACAAATAAAGATGTACATTATATATTAGAAGTTAATGTAGCCTTCAGAAAAACTTTAAGAACTGCACTTTATTGATTAAAGCCTTTGGGAGATGAAACGTCTTACATGACAGAGTCCAGAAAACAATGCTAAATGTTAGCTTGCTAATGTAGTGTTGCTAAAAATTAAATAAACAAACAAAAAAAAAACAATACCTAAAGTTAGCCAAGGTAGCTCCATTAGCTCGTGTAAATTAGGACATTTCACATAAATTTAAATGTTGTTATTTTTTTAATTTGTTTTATTTTTTTTATTTTTACCAAACCTACCACCCTTTGCCTGAGGTCATTTTAAGATTTTTACACAACAATATCTATATTTGGCATCAAATATTGTCATGGCACAGATTCCACTAGTAATGATTTTATTTGAACTGAACTGTAAATATCAAGTGTGCTAAGGTAAGTGTTATATTCTCTTTGGTGATGAAAGTGTGAAAGAAAAAAAAACTATTTTAACGCCTAAGTGAAAGTGTGAAGACTGTTTCCCAAAGCTATCAGCTTTTAACAAGGTCTAATTGAATTGCTGTGAAAGCCTTGGTTTTTCAGCATGTGCCAGTTCAATTAATTATTAGCCCTTAAAAATGCAGGAGGATTTTCTGTTGTATCTCTCTCTCTTTCACACACACACACGGATGAGCACTTAGTGTATTAAACAGAATGATAATGTATGTTAGTGCGGATTCATGAGCCCATTCCAAATCATAGACCAAATGTAATCCCCGTGGCTTTGGTTGCTAAATGGAGGTTTTGATTCAGCCGGCTGTAATAAACGGCTGGACTCCTGAACGCATTTTTTAACAACAGTAAAACTTGACGTGACGGAAGCGTACGGTGCGGCAGGAGAAAACAGGATGCGTTTCCAAGCAGATTTAACAATGCAAAAATGCATAAAGTGTGAGGTCATCACTCTGAGAGAATGGAGTGTGTAAAGAAAAAAAAAAAGAGAATATGAGCCCCGAGGTCACGGAAATAAAGATAAATGTGAGCAGCAACTGCAAGGCTGTGGCAATGGAGCTAATAAGAATCTGTTTTATCTTTTTACAATTTAAATTGTAACCTTGAGCCCACAGCCAGCCACGCGGGCTCCTGGTGGAATCATAATTCTGTGTGGGGGGGTGGAAGGGGGGGCGGGGCGGGTGCAGCTCGAGGTGTGCGCGGGTGCGGGCGTGCGGGGCCGCAGCATTAGCTCTCTGAGTGAAATATATGGCAGTGACGCCTCTCGGCCCCATCCACAATCAATTGGATTCTTTTCCTTTAATATTTACTCGCAGCGATGAGATGCTCGTCTGCATGGTGATGAACAGTCTGCCACTGGCGTTTGAAGGTGACCTGTCAGTGAGTATGGACAAATCTCTCGCTCGCAGAAATGTAGAAAATAAATCATTAGGGGCAGGCAGTCAGACAGGGGCCCTCTCTCTGCCTCTCCCTCACTCTCCTCGGATTTAAATCAGCCCAGATTTATGATTTGAATTAATGCTTCGTTTGGTCAAAGGAATGGTCGCCGAGACAAATGATGTTTGGTACTGAAACCATCCTAATATTGATTACTGGTTGTCGCAGCAATCTCTTGTTTATATCAAGCACTCTCCTGTGACAGGGTGGCCACCAGGAGTCATCCTGATAATACGCTGGAGAAATATGGCCTCCTCTGCACTGCAGGGCCATGAAACACAGCCAGCACTTTGCTGTCGTCTTCATCCTGCCCCCGGGGTTCCACTCTGGTGTTTGTTTTGAAGAAGGCATTCAGCAAATTCCACAAAAAATATTGCAGACTTAAAAGAGAGCGTCGCTGCACTGCTGTGTTCTCAGACGTAGAACGGACCGTGGTGGTTCCTCACATCTGCAGCTCAGTGTCTTAGTGGTGTCCTCTACGGTGGACACAGGAGGTCTGTGTGTGACTCTCAGGACCGTGGACAAACTTTTCTTAAGAAGAACTTTGACCTGAGTTATGAGAATCAAGGCAGTCAGTGTAAAAGACAACAGGACATGAGAGAAGACAGAAGTATTTGTTGTTTTGACTGAAACTTTACTCAGTCTCTTTTAGTCAGATTAAAAAGTCAACATCAATTTACTTCCACTACCAGTAGTACAGTTTGATGTCTGATTCTATACTAATCTGGAAGGATAGTTGTCGTCCACACCGTCATGTGTGTTGTGTCTCCTTTGGAGGTGGATAATACTGCCCCCTGTAGTAGTACATGTCTGTTATACAGTACAACATGTCCTTTACAGGAGTTTGGTTCACGTGGTTTGACACGTTCCTCTAACACCCATAAAAACGTCAAAAGTTTCTGAGACAGTTAGATTTGATTTAATGAAAATAAATACATTTCCTTCAATTCAAGCTGTTTCCATCACAAAAATGATCTTTGCCAATGAGTTAGTTAAAAAAATTAAACTTTGCTCTGATTTAGAAATGGTTAGTCTTAAAGGATCAATGAAAAAGTTGATTAAAGAAACCGACACAACACTGAACATTGGACAAAGACGGAAACATAAACTCATCAAAGCCGTGGACGAAACCTCAGGGACGCGTCCTGAAACGTTTGTCAATAAATCCTAACATCTGTCTCCGTACTTTTGATGAACAGAAGTTCCGTCTGTCCGTCCGTGGTCTCAGTCAAACCTGGACCACAGCTGGACTGAACTGCATTTGGACGTGAAGACTCTCAGGAAATAGACTGGACTCTTTTAACCAAGCGGCTTCCACTAAGACTCAAACAAAGCAGATGTGTTTACTTGTACAAATGATGTTGCCAACCTTGATGGGGTTTGATATGATAATGTACGCGCCTGTGATAATAACACAAAGGACATTGATCTATTTAATCAAAAAAGGGCTGCTACACAAAGAAAATCCTCGGGCTAAATTACAGGTGCTTCATTTCAGTCTTTGTCTGATGCATATCTTTTATTGTAAAGAGCTCGGAGTGAAACGCTGCGGCGCCGAGACGTGCGGTGAAGGACACGTTTGTGTTTGTAGACCGGGGGTCGGTCGTCCCCGTCTTTGTGTTGATGCAAACTGAACAGGATAATGTTTCCCCCTCTCGGCATTAAATATTCATCACAATTAGACCTTCCTGTTTGCATCAATGTTATTAATTATGAGGGGGAAAAAAACAACAGTTCAACCCTCAGACAACAGAACAAACATCTTGAATGAGAATCGAGAGGAAAAGGGGGAAAAAGCATGTTTGTGTGAGTGCACACCGGAGAGGGGGATAAAAAGATGGAGACCTGGTGACATAAAAATGTTAAAAAAAGAGACAGGATGAGAGGTGTGCGTGGGTGTCTGTCTTTGATTTCCCCCCTCATGCTCCTTAGTTGGGCAGACGGAGCCTTCTGAAAGCACAATGTGGATTGTTCCCGTGTCTCTCAGGAAATGCCACAATTACAGATCACAGACCAAGCAAAACACGTGTGGCGCAGGGCCTTGAGGGGGATAAACAGCCCACCGTTCCCCTCCCAGTGCACTGACCCCAGCCACAACCTTCATTACTGGGAAGGAAAATATTGTCAGCTGCCCACTAACAAACACCTGCCAATTTCAAGAGAAGGAATTACTTTTTTCAGCTGCAGAAAAGAAAATAAAGTGTTCCTCAGATCCTTTGAAAAAGGGGAGTGAGAAGAAAGGATAATGCACCATTTTCACCCTTGTCCCCCTTTTTCTACTCACTTCTCTGGGTGTTCCTGCCTTCTGTCTCCCTTTGGTCACTGGGTGCTGCCCTGCCACTCATCTGACTCCTCACCACAGCAGTCTAATGGAGCTGAGATCTGCTTTGTAATTAGATATGGGAATTCCATTGTCAGGAGCCAGATGATGCCACGGAGTGTCAGCCAAAAGTAGTCGGCGCAGCAGGAAGGCAGGACAACAGCAGTAACTAACTGTCATGTGGATCTGGAAACTTTATCAACCTGTACGGACGGACAGCCATTAGTGCCGTCTCTGTTGAAAGTACAGTGGAACCTCGAGCATAATCTGCTCCAGGACCGAACTTGTAACTCCAGGTGCTTGTATCTTGAATCATTTTTTCCCTCTAAAAAACTCCCGCAGGTGATGCGTACAGAAGTTGTCGTAAAGCGGCGTGGGCTAAATCGTGCTTGGCCACCTAGCGTCGGTGTCTGTAAGCGTGCTCGTATCTCATATCTTTACTCGTATGCTCGAAGGCTTTCTCGTATATCGGAATTGTATGTGGAGATGCTCGTATCTGGAGGTCCCACTGTATCAGCTCTGCATCAGTGGACCTCGATAGAGAAGTGAAGCCTAACTTGTAACATCAAAACAAAATCTTCAGTGACTTTCTGATTTAATCTTTTTTTTTTTTGGACCAAACATCATTTGGAAATTATGATCTCATTTGGAAAAGAAAGTAAATCAGCTGGTGATTAAACAGCTGTGATGAACAACTATAACCATATTAAGTGAGTGAGTGGGTGAGAATTGCACTGTCTCGTTCTCCAGGCCATTGATCTTCTTTTGCTTTGAGGTTCAAAGTCAGGACATGCTGCTTCACTCTGCTCGTCCCTCAGATTACCCTTCAGTCACACCACCAGTCAAATGAATAGATCTCTCCTACAGTACAGATTTGAACATTTGTCAGAGGGTTTTAATTCTTTGACGTACTGTATGTCCAAGGACACTGGTCTGACTTTACAGTGACGGAGTAGCTGTAGCTAAAGTCCGTTAGGTTAGCTCCAAAATTAAACAAGAAATAAAGTCTGCACTCTAGCTGGTCCAGTCAGGACCTGTACTTGTTACTGCTGG